CATCATCAATTACTGGATAACACCATCAATTACTGGAAAACACCATCACTTACTAGATAACATCATCAATTACTGTATAACATCATCAATTACTGGAAAACACCATCATTATCAATTACTGTATAACACCATCAATTACTGGAAAACACCATCACTTACTAGATAACATCATTAATTACTGGATAACACCATCACTTACTAGATAACATCATCAATTACTGTATAACATCATCAATTACTGGAAAACACCATCATCATCAATTACTGTATAACACCATCAATTACTGGAAAACACCATCACTTACTAGACAACATCAATTACTGGATAACACCATCAATTACTAGATAACACCACCAGTTACTAGATAACATCATCAATTACTGGATAACACCACCAGTTACTAGATAACATCATCAATTACTGGATAACACCAACATCATCAATTACTGGATAACACCATCAGTTACTGGATTAGCATTGGGAGGTCTGATGAAGCCATTAACTAGATATCTAATTGTTCTGGAAGTAATTAATTTACAACAAATTTATTCACAAATCACACACACACTTCCTGAATTTATTTACCACACATTCTCTCACATCTTTACCCACAAGTATACCAGCACACACTCCAATCCATTCCATTTACAAGCCATTATCATTTTCCATTGTTGGTTCCTAGGTTTCAACACTGAAGGCACCCAGTAACACTGACAACTCCTTGAAGACATGACAGTTCTATGGTACAGTGTAATTTGTTGGACTAGCTAAGCTGTATTTCTTTCTTAATCTGTATAATCAGCACTATTGTGAATCATTATATCTTCTACATCTTTGTCCTATACTTAACTACTCACAGGTACTATCTACAGATCACATGATCAACTGTCAAAATATGGATGTCACAAACTTACGTTGTAGTAGTTTGTGGTTTGACATGATTATATTTACCATAACCAAGTATTTTACAGTGCGAGATGGATCTGTTGACCTTGACACAGTACTTTACATTGTGACATGATTCTGTTGACCTTGACATGGTACGCTACAATGCGACATGGATATGTTGACCTTGACACAGTACTCTGCAGTGTGACATGGATATGTTGAACTTGACCTAATACTTTCCAGTGTGACATGGATATGTTGACCTTGACCTAATACTTTCCAGTGTGACATGGATAAGTTGACCTTGACACAGTCCTTTGCAGTTTGACATAGATTTGTTGACCTTGGCACAGTACTTTGCAGTTTGACATGGATATGTTGACCTTGACACGGTACTTTGCAGTTTGACATGGATATGTTGACCTTGACACGGTACTTTGCAGTGTGACATGGATATGTTGACCTTGACACGGTACTTTGCAGTGTGACATGGATATGTTGACCTTGACACGGTACTTTGCAGTGTGACATGGATATGTTGACCTTGACACGGTACTTTGCAGTGTGACATGGATATGTTGACCTTGACACGGTACTTTGCAGTGTGACATGGATATGTTGACCTTGACACGGTACTTTGCAGTGTGACATGGATATGTTGACCTTGACACGGTACTTTGCAGTTTGACATGGATATGTTGACCTTGACACAGTACTTTGCAGTGTGACATGGATATGTTGACCTTGACACGGTACTTTGCAGTTTGACATGGATATGTTGACCTTGACACGGTACTTTGCAGTTTGACATGGATATGTTGACCTTGACACGGTACTTTGCAGTTTGACATGGATATGTTGACCTTGACACGGTACTTTGCAGTTTGACATGGATATGTTGACCTTGACACGGTACTTTGCAGTGTGACATGGATATGTTGACCTTGACACGGTACTTTGCAGTTTGACATGGATATGTTGACCTTGACACGGTACTTTGCAGTGTGACATGGATATGTTGACCTTGACACAGTACTTTGCAGTGTGACATGGATATGTTGACCTTGACACGGTACTTTGCAGTGTGACATGATTGAAGTACAGCAGTAATTTTTCACCAGATTATATAGCCATACAGAGCAGGCTCAGTATTTGTTGGTTGTCACAAGTATTGACATATCAGCTCCATTAGAAGTCACTTATTGTTAGTATTATTGTTTTAAAAGATCTTACCAAACATTAATTCTAATAACAACATATTTCTTTCAACGTAGATATATACCATAAACTATTAGGTAAGAGAAATGTCTAATTAAGTGGGCCTGGTGAATTGGCCAATAGATTAAACAGGATGTTCAGTGTATATATAAGTACAGGCCACACACACAACACAATCCTCAGAAATTCCAACCTTGACCGAATTACAGAGGTGTTTTGTTACTTCAGATACTAGAGAAAGTTGACCACAAATGACCACGAAGATGTGGGTGGGCAAACCATCCTCCACTGAAGCAGTAGTAGGCCCATCAAATTATCAATTACAACCAATCACTTGCTGGTGAAGTGTGGAACAGATGACCACAGCCTTAATGTTGACCACTAACCAGTGTCCAGTTTGGTGTCTAAATCACTCTACCTATAAGTAAGAAGTATATTCTGCAATGAATGCCATTTTGACCACAACTATTTCTGCTGGGCATTAACTACTATTCATATGGGAACTATTTCATACACTGACACGTGTAGTGGTGAGCGAACATGTCACAGGACAGCTTACATCTTCATCACAGCTTTACATATTTTCCTTCATCTTTCATGGACATTTGAATTATGTAAACAAAGAATCAATGAATTGATAAACATTATACCTAAAAAACAAGTATGAAAGTCTGATGACTTAGATAATGATAATCTGTCCTAACCAACTAACAACTTAGATTTTAACAGTATCAATAATGAAGCAATAATGAAATTACAGTGTGAGCAATTCAACTTTCTACACATCCTGGGCTAGGGTGTATAATTCAACATTCCCAACAACCTTGGCTAGGGTGTACAATTCACCCTTTCTTACATCCTCGGCTGTGGCATATAATTAAACCTTTCTTACATCCTAGGTTGTGGTGTACAACTCAACCTTCCTAACATTCTGGCCTTGAGTGTACCAATTCAACATTCTCAATATCCTAGGCAAGGGTGTGTGATTCATTTTTCCTGATATTCTGAATCACTGTGTACAATTCTAATTGCCTGACACCCTAAGCCAGGGCGAAAAAATTTTACTTGTCTGACACAATGGGCTAGGATAAAAAAGTTTAGTTGCTTGACATCTTGAACTAAGGCTTACTTAGGGTCAAATAGTTAACTTGCCTTACATCCTGGGCGAGGATGTTCAAGTTTACATGCCTAACATCCTAGGCTAGGGTGTACAATTTTACATGCCTAACATCCTGGGCTCGGGTGTACAAGTTTACATGCCTAGCATCCTGGGCTAGGGTATACAAGTTTACATGCCTAACATCCTGGGCTAGGGAGTTTACATGCCTACTTCTGGGCTAGGGTGTACAATTTGTCTTGCTTGATAGCCCAAGGTAGGGTGTACAATTTTACTAACCTGACACATCAGATAGGTTGAACAAGTTTATTTGCATTACATCCCACACTAGGGTGTACAATTTTACTTGCCTGACACCCTTTGCTGGGATATACAAATTGACTTGCCTGACACACCCGGGGATAGGGTGAACAATTAACTTGTCTGACATCCAAGCTTGGATGTACAACTTTACTTAACTGACACACCAACCTAGGGTGTACACATCTACTTGCCTAACATTCCAGGTTAGTGTGTACAACTTCACTTGCTTGATTCCTTAGGTGTTTAAACTTCATGCAAAGGCAAGTGAAAAACAAAATTGTACAGGGACTGGAATGGATAGCTACCACTCCCAACAACTTTGCACTTAAAACCACTGGTGGTATTGAGTCAGTTACCATGATGACTGCAGATGTATATTTGAGGTTTGAAAATTTGCACATACACAATATCCCCCATGGTAATTTGTTGAAAAAACATGCCATGATGTATAATATTTAGTTACCCCCTTTGGAAGAAATGTAATTTAGTTGAGACCATTCTGCCTTACATTTAGTATTTGGATGAACACATTCAGTTAAAATGATCATTAATATTTTGAAAATCTTACATTTTATTTGTGATTCTGAACTTGAACTTTGAATGTGACACAACTGCCCAGTGTTGTTCAAATATCTCCATCACTACTTAAAAATGAATTATGAGCTTGATAATCAGAAGTGATGTCTTTATTTACACACAAATATTAAATGATAATGTAAAGGAGGATTTAAGGCACAAGACCACAATACAGGAGGTGAAAAACTTAACATGATGAATGTGCTATCAGATGGAGACACTTGACATCTAATTAAAACCAATAGTACAGGATATTACATAATTTATCAAGCCTTTCTTTCTGGAGTTGTGATTCTGTTAAATAAGATTTGGACATTAAACATTAATTAAATTCTAAATTGAAGAAACCACTGGAAAATTGAAATCATTTCAGTGTGCAGGACAGCTGTTCATGGTCATACTCCCCCTCCCCTGTGACTCAGCTTCTTCCTTTATTGCTACAGGAAGCAACCCCACTTTTACATTTTGAATATTGAGGAATTAATCTTAATTCTTTTATCATCCAAAATGTTTACGGCTGAACAGTGGATAAGTGTATGTTTTGTTTACATTCTGGGTTTATAAGTCATGGACATATTGTAGTAGGAGACAGGAGTAGTATAAATGGAATGTGGAATGGGGGCAGGTTACGTCCGAAGAATGAATCATGGCACAAGGGGCCACCTATTTCGTCCTAATTCCTTTAAGTCGTCAAACGCCTACGTACAATTCAAACGAGGTCAAGTCACGCTCGGATGAGATATATAGGTGTTATTATGGTAAACACGTGTATTTCAGACGGCCATTATCGATTGTCATTGCGATACACTCTCACTAATGCCCTTTCGGTATATGAACGACTACTTCAGACATCTTATTTGTGTGAAGTTATTCTGTAATAATCTAAATTCTACATACATGTGTTGTTTTTCTGATCTTCAAAACGTAATCGCAGACGTCGCTTCTTCCGTCGCACTACTTTTCTTATGCGCATGCGCAGACAAAATTTTATATTTCGCACTTCCGTGTAAACCTACTTTCAGTTTGAGGTGATTCACATATGTTTATACACCACGTGTGTTTGTAGCAGTGTATATAAAGAAAATGTCCTCAGTGACTTTTAAACCCGAACTTTGCGGTTAAGTACAAACCACAAACACCGAGGACGTTAAAGAACAAAATACTAAATCGGTTAAGTAAGATTTATACAAGGTCGTCTCATTAAATACAACCAAGACTTAATCCACGTATTGTGGCACTAATCGCCTTAAATGTTTCAGTGCCGCAGACTAAATTGTTGACACATGGTTTTTCTGCATTTTCAGGCCTATTTCGTATTTACGATAATCAGTTCGACACATTTACACACAAGTCAAAAGCACGCGCAATAAGTATATACAGCAAAAAAATAACAGTAATTAGAATGCATGTATAAGCCAAATGATACGATTAAGTAGGTGTATCTGTTATACATTGTGATAGCTATTTTTTCAGGAAAAAAGATGATGTGATGGAAATTCTTCAAAACAAAAATAAGATGATTCGAACTACTACTCCCTACTTAAGTTGCGTACAAACGACTTTCCCTTTTTATTTTAAATTACCCGAGTTTAATAATAAAAAAATCCCTTTTTATTTCAAATTACCCGAGTTTAATAAAAAAAAAAAAAAATAGAAGGAGAAGAAAATACGGAAAGGGATAGGTTTCTGCGGGGGCTGGCGGTCTCTTCATCAAGGCATGATTAAGAAAAACGTTCGCATTTAAAAATATGTATATATATGTGTGTATATATATATTTATCTCGTGACCATGCGTTACAAGCTTACAAAGATGACAGCGAAAACAGAATATTGAAAATAACGAATTCAAACTTTTCAACATTTGGTTACGTGACTCTCATGGTGACCTGTTGCGGTCACCTTTTGTCTGTCGTGCGTCAGAAACTTTTTACATTTTCGAGTTCTTCTGGAAAACCTCTGACCGATATAGTACAATTTGTGGAAACCCTTTAAGGCCAATGGTGAACAAAAAATGTAAATTACATAGTCCCCACCCACCAAGTGCCCCTCGGAGGGGCGGGGTAACAAAGGAACCAAATAATTGTAATTTCAGAAGTCGTTTCAATGCCCAAATATGGTAGAATCGAATACTCTTCATGAATGGAAGATTCCTGAGGTGTTTTACTAAAATTGTAAATGTTATTATCCTTTATCCTTTATTACAACAGATTTATAACAAAAATACATTGAGAATAATTTGTTTACTTTCAAAATTGGTTAGAATGGTTCGTTTCGCATGACATTTTGATGGTATGCACCCGTTGACCCTGGCTAGCCCCACGCGCTGAGGGGAGTCGCGAATGAAGGGGTCAGATTGATTGTAATTTCAAAAATCTTCTCTTCAACACCCAGATATGACAGAATGAACTACTTTTCATGGATGGGAGGGGTCTAAAGGGGCTTTACCAAAACTGTAAATTTCACGACCCTAGGATTCCGCATTTCCCCTGGGGAGACGGTAAAGTTTACAATAGATTATTAGGTCAACATTATGTCACGAATGTTCTTCAATCATGAGCTGTAGCTTAAGCAAAACTCTCCTGTCCCAGTATAATTAACATTTCTCATTTTCTCTTCTCTATACTACACATTCATTTCAATTGTTACCGTTTATAAGTTCATTCACTGTGACCATTCGGCCTGTTGTTCTGTCACCAGTGACGAGCAGGAGTATGGACTGTTTCTGGGATATTCCAAGATAAGCCATCATGATATTTCAAATTTGAAATAGGTATCAGGGAGAATGTGATAAAACGCTTCATATAAAAAACAATTAACTCGCTATATATTTCACAACGGTCACGGCGGTAGAGCTAAAGATAACAGTATATAGTCACGCTATGGTGATACGTCACGGAACACAGGAGGACTGTACAAGTTTGTGTGTCATCAAGGAAAAAACATAACTGTTTAAAAAAACACACTTTAATTTGGTAGAATTTCAATTTTAACATATACAACAATACTTCAGTCAATGCACTGACGTCAGAAAACAGGATTTTATTTTTGCAGATTTATTGCAAAATTAAAGACACTCCTGTCACCTGTGGTGAACGCACATCCGTAAGTGCTGGACACATTGAAACATCATATCAGATTATTGTTCATGTTTTTATAATAGAATCCAGCCCGTGTGTAGGTTTACGTAACCTTCCATATATAATATACAGCCTCATATGTCATATCTTATGTCATCATATACATATAAATCACAACAACAAATAAAACAAAATGTTCATTGTATCATACACCATGTACCAACCGTCAGTTACCGCACACCATGTACCAACCGTCAGTTACCGCACACCATGTACCAACCGTCAGTTACCGCACACCATGTACCAACCGTCAGTTACCGCACACCATGTACCAACCGTCAGTTACCGCACACCATGTACCAACCGTCAGTTACCACACACCATGTACCAACCGTCAGTTACCACACACCATGTACCAACCGTCAGTTACCACACACCATGTACCAACCGTCAGTTACCGCACACCATGTACCAACCGTCAGTTACCACACACCATGTACCAACCGTCAGTTACCACACACCATGTACCAACCGTCAGTTACCACACACCATGTACCAACCGTCAGTTACCGCACACCATGTACCAACCGTCAGTTACCACACACCATGTACCAACCGTCAGTTACCGCACACCATACACCAACCGTCAGTTACCGCACACCATGTACCAACCGTCAGTTACCGCACACCATGTACCAACCGTCAGTTACCACACACCATACACCAACCGTCAGTTACCATACACCATGTACCAACCGTCAGTTACCGTCAGTTACCATACACCATACACCAACCGTCAGTTACCACACACCATGTACCAACCGTCAGTTACCACACACCATGTACCAACCGTCAGTTACCATACACCATACACCAACCGTCAGTTACCACACACCATGTACCAACCGTCAGTTACCACACACCATGTACCAACCGTCAGTTACCACACACCATGTACCAACCGTCAGTTACCACACACCATGTACCAACCGTCAGTTACCATACACCATACACCAACCGTCAGTTACCACACACCATGTACCAACCGTCAGTTACCACACACCATGTACCAACCGTCAGTTACCACACACCATGTACCAACCGTCAGTTACCATACACCATGTACCAACCGTCAGTTACCATACACCATGTACCAACCGTTAGTTACCACACACCATGTACTAACTGTCAGTTACCAAACACCATGTACCAACCGTCAGTTACCATACACCATGTACCAACCGTCAGTTACCACACACCATGTACCAACCGTCAGTTACCACACACCATGTACCAACCGTCAGTTACCACAAACCATGTACCAACCGTCAGTTACCACACACCATGTACCAACCGTCAGTTACCACACACCATGTACCAACCGTCAGTTACCACACACCATGTACCAACCGTCAGTTACCATACACCATGTACCAACCGTCAGTTACCACACACCATGTACCAACCGTTAGTTACCATACATCATCTTTCAACCGTCAGTTACCATACACCATGTACCAACCGTTAGTTACCATACACCATATACCAACCGTCAGTTACCACACATCATGTACCTACCGTCAGTTACCACACACCATGTACCAACCGTCAGTTACCACACACCATGTACCAACCACACCATGTACCAACCGTCAGTTACCACACACCATGTACCAACCGTCAGTTACCATACACCATGTACCAACCGTCAGTTACCACACACCATGTACCAACCGTCAGTTACCACACACCATGTACCAACCGTCAGTTACCACACACCATGTACCAACCGTCAGTTACCACACACCATACACCAACCGTCAGTTACCAAACACCATGTACCAACCGTCAGTTACCATACACCATGTACCAACCGTCAGTTACCACACACCATGTACCAACCGTCAGTTACCACACACCATGTACCAACCGTCAGTTACCACACACCATGTACCAACCGTCAGTTACCACACACCATGTACCAACCGTCAGTTACCATACACCATGTACCAACCGTCAGTTACCACACACCATGTACCAACCGTCAGTTACTATACACCATGTACCAACCGTCAGTTACCACACACCATGTACCATCCATCAGTCACCGCACACCATGTAACAACCGTCAGTTACCACACACCATGTACCAACTGTCAGTTACCACACACCATGTACCAACCGTCAGTTACCACACACCATGTACCAACCGTCAGTTACCACACACCATGTACCAACCGTCAGTTACCACACACCATGTACCAACCGTCAGTTACCATACACCATACACCAACCGTCAGTTACCACACACCATGTACCTACCGTCAGTTACCACACACCATGTACCAACTGTCAGTTACCACACACCATGTACCAACCGTCATTTACCACAAACCATGTACCAACCGTCAGTTACCACACACCATGTACCAACCGTCAGTTACCATACACCATGTACCAACCGTCAGTTACCATACACCATGTACCAACCGTCAGTTACCACACACCATGTACCAACCGTCAGTTACCATACACCATGTACCAACCGTCAGTTACCATACACCATGTACCAACCGTCAGTTACCATACACCATGTACCAACCGTCAGTTACCACACACCATGTACCAACCGTCAGTTACCAAACACCATGTACCAACCGTCAGTTACCATACACCATGTACCAACCGTCAGTTACCACACACCATACACCAACCGTCAGTTACCATACACCATGTACCAACCGTCAGTTACCACACACCATGTACCAACCATCAGTCACTGCACACCATGTACCAACCGTCAGTTACCACACACCATGTACCAACTGTCAGTCAGCACACACCATGTACCAACCGTCAGTTACCATACACCATACACCACCGTCAGTTACCACACACCATGTACCAACCGTCAGTTACCATACACCATCAGTTACCAACCGTCAGTTACCACACACCATGTACCAACCGTCAGTTACCACACACCATGTACCAACCGTCAGTTACAAAACACCATGTACCAACCGTCAGTTACCACACACCATGTACCAACCGTCAGTTACCATACACCATACACCAACCGTCAGTTACCACACACCATACACCAACCGTCAGTTACCATACACCATGTACCAACCGTTGTTACTATACACCATGTACCAACCGTCAGTTACCACACACCATGTACCAACCGTCAGTTACCATACACCATGTACCAACCGTTAGTTACTATACACCATGTACCAACCGTCAGTTACCACACACCATGTACCAACTGTCAGTTACCACACACCATGTACCAACCGTCATTTACCAACCGTCAGTTACCACACACACCACACCATGTACCAACCGTCAGTTTACCTAAACCTTGTACCAACCGTCAGTTTCCGCACACCATGTACCAACCGTCAGTTACCACACACCATGTACCAACCATCAGTCACCGCACACCATGTAACAACCGTCAGTTACCACACACCATGTACCAACTGTCAGTTAGCACACACTATGTACCAACCGTCAGTTACCATACACCAACCGTCAGTTACCACACACCATGTACCAACCGTCAGTTACCACACACCATGTACCAACCGTCAGTTACCACACACCATGTACCAACCGTCAGTTACCAAACACCATGTACCAACCGTCAGTTACCATACACCATGTACCAACCGTCAGTTACCACACACCATGTACCAACCATCAGTCACTGCACACCATGTACCAACCGTCAGTTACCACACACCATGTACCAACCGTCAGTTACCACACACCATGTACCAACCGTCAGTTACCACACACCATGTACCAACCGTCAGTTACCATACACCATAAACCAACCGTCAGTTACCACACACCATGTACCAACCGTCAGTTATACACACACAATCAGTTACCACACACCATGTACCTGTCACCGTCAGTTACCACACACCATGTACCAACCGTCAGTTACCACACACCAGTTACCATACACCAACCGTCAGTTACCACACACCATGTACCTACCGTCAGTTACCACACACCATGTACCAACCGTCAGTTACCACACACCATGTACCAACCGTCAGTTACCATACACCATACACCAACCGTCAGTTACCATACACCATGTACCAACCGTTAGTTACAACATACCATGTACCAACCGTCAGTTATTATACATCATGTACCAACCGTCAGTTACCATACACCATGTACCAACCGTCAGTTACCACACACCATGTACCAACCGTCAGTTACCATACACCATACACCAACCGTCAGTTACCACACACCATACACCAACCGTCAGTTACCACACACCATGTACCAACCGTCAGTTACCACACACCATGTACCAACCGTCAGTTACCACACACCATACACCAACCGTCAGTTACCACACACCATACACCAACCGTCAGTTACCACACACCATGTACCAACCGTCAGTTACCACACACCATGTACCAACCGTCAGTTACCACAAACCATGTACCAACCGTCAGTTACCACACACCATGTACCAACCGTCAGTTACCATTCACCATACACAATATAACTGATCTTATATACACTACAATATGCACCACATTTGATTCACCATGCAGTAATGTCTTACATGTCTTTATCGAAATATATAAACATTAACTTGATACATTAATATTTTCTCTGTGAAGTATTTTCCCTCCGCCATTTTCCAGCGTCCGAATAGAGGTTGGATGGCTTCCAAAAATGGTTCTAAACGACTCTCAAATTATGTCGTTTGACCTTAATTATATCGTATGTTTTGTGGGGTTTTTTGTGGCTTCTTGTTCACACAGAATGTTGCGGTTCCTTCAGATTTCGGACCCTATTTTCTTTTACCTAAGTTCTAATAAAGTAAAAATTAAGCGTGTGCATGACTGCGATCAGTAAATATGCTTTATCAGGGGTTACAATCAACATGATTCGCTACAATTGAGATATTATTTTTTTACAACTCAGATTTATATATTTACATTGCATCATCAGCGCACAACGACCTGTAGTTCCGATCTGCAATCGCTGATAAATTGTTGAAATTTTATTAACAACGACATACTTAAGAAGTTAACATACTATAATACACTACGCAACATCAATATCTTATATGAATTTGGAAAAACAATACCATATTTGTATTCATAAATTAATTAATCAATATTTGCCATAGATTATACATTCAACAATGTCATTCTATAAGTAAGCGTAATGTGCTCAGTCACTAAATTTATTTCAAAACTCCTTGGTACATAGACCCTGTACATAGCAAGACCAAAACGAAACAAAATATATCAGTAAGCTCAGGTTGAAAAAAATCTAGCATTGTCTTAACTGAAGTCAGTTGGAGGTTTATCTTTTTTACTATTGATAATTGTAATTAATATAAGAAAGCTAAAATTGATGTGCGAACGCTCTAAAAACTATGAAGATAGTAAACGTATGCCTTCTGAACATGAATGTAATTTATTCATTTATGTCTTTATTGGTTTATTCGAAGAAGCTGATTTATTATATTGATAAAGCATAATGCACGTGTCACAGTGGTTTATGAAGTAATATCTGGTACAGTATGATCATTGTAGAAATACTGAATAATAAACAAATTTCTCATCAACACTTACCGACTGATGTATTCCTTAACAGAAAATAACAGCATATATCGAGTGATCATTCATTATGCAACCTAGTGGTCTAGCTCTGTTTTGTGATTTTCCTCTGCGCGGAATACAAGGTAAGGAACACAAACAAAACTAAAGCAGACAACTCCAATGAATATTTACATTTACAGGAGTGAGATTTACAGAGGGCAACATAAATCGCAATGGGTTTCATGTAGTTCAAAGGAAGTAACGAATATCAACTTTAGAGCATTACGAAAAATTCTACAACTTGATATACACTTTAGTCTCCATGATAATATTATGATACATTCTACTACTAGACGATCGTCTTTACAATACTATATAGGAAGGAAATATGTGATGATTTTATATAACTTGAAATGTACAGTGCTGGCGTTTTCACCCAATATGTAACACGTGAGCACGGGATTTGGAAGAAAATGAAAACAGTATCATTGAGAGATAAATCATTTAATTTCTGTCTTTCTAAATCATATTTACTATCGACGCCTGTTGACATTATTTTTTCCATATCTCATGCGAAAGCAATCAAACTTTTGTTTTTCTATTCCTAACGTTTACCTGACTATTTGTACGCAAAACCATATCGAAATTTAATATTGAAGTCCGTGATCAAATATTATAGCCCCTTAGGTCCTACTCGAATGTCTGCATATATCACATCTGTAAACCTCCCGACATGTCTGAACTCTAACAGTCTCACAACAATCTATCACAACGCTGTCATACTGCTTAATGCTAGCTTACTTCCTTATGTTAACCAGCCTTTCTCCAATACGTACAGGTAAAGTGCGCAACTGTGTATTAGATTTTGATTGACAGCTCAAAATAATCATCCGCCAAAAACATAGTTCTGTATATAATCTCACACCATTAAGTGTAATTCGAGTGTCACAGTTAATATAACAGTCCATGATATTACAGCCTCATCTCTAAGTACTTCTAAGTACAAATCACTTCATAAATTGCATACATTAATCCTGATAAGATCTGCCAGTACACTAGGCGGAGTGATATATCACAACTGTGTGGTGTACTGTTGACTCAGCCATGCGAAGGAGTGGCTAACACAACGTTATAGTAAAAACCGCTACATACCGTGTCTCATTCATAAAACCGCAGGGCAAGAGAGCGGTTGGCCCGTATTTACTTTGTTACTGAAAATCTTGTGTTGTGTTTTCTTATATCTAACCACATATATGCATTTACCAACAGATCTAAACGGTCTCAGACCGTTCCCGGATTCGCCTCACAACATGACCGAGGTTGTCCCGGGGGAGCGGACTCTCAGTTCTGTGTTAAGTGACCACCCCGGGGAACTCGTACGGACCGGAAGTCCGAATTTCGTCTGCTCAGTTTTACCATCCCACTGGCGATCAAACAAGACCCTTCCCGTGGCTTTTAAAGTTGTGTCTCTTGGGGAGGTGAAGGATGGTACAAGAGTGACCATTACAGCTGGAAATGATGAGAATTATTGCCCGGAATTACGGAATAGTACAGCTTATATGAAACATCAAGTTGCCAAATTCAACGATCTGCGCTTTGTGGGCAGAAGCGGTCGAGGTGAGTGAGTACACATATACTTTACGTACATACGTAGATATACACGATGAGTAACCCCTGAATCGGAAATTCCAGTTTTCCACTACTGGTGAACCCAGTGAGGTTATCGCTTAATATCGTCAATTGTTACAAGATATACAGTATCATGCAGTATGGTCTCGGTTTCGCTTGTTTTTCATATTTTTTCGCAATATTACGACACTTGTTTGCGGATAGAATAGAATCACAGGTGAGCTAATTACCATATAACTGGCGTCATCAGAGGTAGGGTGACGGTGTGTGTTTTTTCTTTTGGCAACTATAAATCAAACATGTGACGGCTTTATGTATCTAGTGTTTGTCTCTTCGTACCTCAACACAATTTTAACTCGTCTTAAACACGCTGTTATGTAAGATGTATACTTAGCAAGGTGCGAGTCGAATCATGAATGGGTTTTAACAACTGGCGTTTCAAAGGTACAATGGTATTTTGATATGCGAGTGGGCGTTTTTAACAATACGTGAAATAGGTTATGTAGTAGATATGCCCTTATATGGAAGATAAGTTGTAACGCTGTATAGAAAAATCAATAGTTGGTGGCTAATGGTGGGAATGTAAACAGGGCCATTGATAAATTTTACCTGTGACAATCCGCGGTACTTACAACAAGTATAGTCGGGAAATGTCTAAAGACAAGTTACCGAGTGAAAAATTAACCTCTGGTGTGAAATAACTCGTTACATTTCAACAGGTATATCTCGATGATATTTCGTTGTCGTTATTATTGACTATTAATGTATTACTACTATAACATGGTCCATGTCGTTCAAATACAACTACCAATACATGATGAAATAGACACTAAACACTGTTAACTAATGAAAAGAAAAATTCATGGTGACACTACCAGTAAATAATAACAATAATGAAAACAGTGAAATTGCTGGCAAAGAAAAATAATCACAGAAAACAAAAACAGAAAAATGAGTCGAACAAAAACCAAGTGAGGTGAAATAACCGCCGAGTGAAAAAATAGTCACGATGGAATTACAACAATGAAACGGTCAAAGAAAAATATCAGGTTGAAATTACAACAATGAAACGGTCAAAGAAAAATATCAGGTTGAAATTACAACAATGAAACGGTAAACATAGGAAAAAATCATGTTGAAATTACAACAATGAAGCGGTAAACATAGGAAAAAATCATGGTAAATTGAAAAAATGAAACTGGCGACATAGGGAAAAATCATGTTGAAATTACAACAATGAAACGGTAAACAGGAAAAAAATCATGGTAAATTGAAAAAATGAAACTGGCGACATAGGGAAAAATCATGTTGAAATTACAACAATGAAGCGGTAAACATAGGAAAAAATCATGGTAAATTGAAAAAATGAAACTGGCGACATAGGGAAAAATCATGTTGAAATTACAACAATGAAATGGTAAACAGGAAAAAATCATGGTAAATTGAATAAATGAAACTGGCGACATAGGGAAAAATCATGTTGAAATTACAACAATGAAGCGGTAAACATAGGAAAAAATCATGGTAAATTGAAAAAATGAAACTGGCGACATAGGGAAAAATCATGTTGAAATTACAACAATGAAACGGTAAACAGGAAAAAATCATGTTGAAATTACAACAATGTAACTGTACACATAGGAAAAAATCATGTTGAAATTACAGCAATGAAGCGGTAAACATAGGAAAAAATCATGGTAAATTGAAAAAATGAAACTGGCGACATAGGGAAAATCATGTTGAAATTACAACAATGAAACTGTAAACAGGAAAAAATCATGTTGAAATTACAACAATGAAACGGTAAACAGGAAAAAATCATGTTGAAATTACAACAATGTAACTGTAAACAGGAAAAAATCATGTTGAAATTACAGCAATGAAACGGTAAACAGGAAAAAATCATGTTGAAATTACAACAATGTAACTGTAAACAGGAAAAAATCATGTTGAAATTACAACAATGAAAATGTAAACATAGGAAAAAATCATGTTGAAATTACAACAATGTAACTGTAAACATAGGAAAAAATCATGTTGAAATTACAACAATGTAACTGTAAACAGGAAAAAATCATGTTGAAATTACAGCAATGAAAATGTAAACAGGAAAAAATCATGTTGAAATTACAACAATGTAACTGTAAACAGGAAAAATTCGTGTTGAAATTACAGCAATGTAACTGTAAACATAGGAAAAAATCATGTTGAAATTACAACAATGTAACTGTAAACAGGAAAAAATCATGTTGAAATTACAACAATGTAACTGTAAACATAGGAAAAAATCATGTTGAAATTACAACAATGTAACTGTAAACAGGAAAAAATCATGTTGAAATTACAAATACCAACAAATGAGAGAAAGAAAATTCACACTAGAGTGAAAGCCATTAAGATCCGTAAAATATAGCTCGTAAAAACAATAAAATGAAAACAAAAAACTATCAATAAACGAGGAAAGATGACAGTGATATCATCAGGTCTCCGACATCACTTAAATGAGAAGTATATTTCACCGTCTTGGATTGTGGGGCAAAATACAAACAATAAACACACAATCTGTATTAAATAATAAGTTTTAAAAAATCGCAAATAAATCCGGTAAATACTTAAACAGAACATGGACGGAATGTTAATGCATTAAATTGATGACAGATTATTGAATTAATATAAGAAATTAACTTTTAATATTTTGACGATGTTTTTCAAATGAGATGTGAAATAATTTGTACCAAATGATCTAATTCATGACAGTTGAATGACGTTTTAAAACTGCAAATAACTTGAAAATCTTCGCATGTATCTATGTTAATGCAGAACATGTAAAAATGATCAAATGTGTGTCTTATATAGTTTTATAAGAACTCGTTATCATAGCTATTCCTAGACACTATTAACAGGAAATATATATTACAGAATATTTTTTCAAAGGTGTTTGTGTCGGTGAACTCTTCGTGTTGTGTTGTAGATGAATGTATATTTGTACAATCGTTCTTCAATTAATAATATATATTTAAAAAAAAGCCCAGTACAGTATGAAAAGAGTTTTTGTGAATCGTGTCTTTGTCATTGAATTGTTGTAAAATGATAGATTAATGTATATTTTATGTATATATGTAGGAAAGATTAAGATTATAACGGTATAGATGATGTGTTATTAAGAAGAGTCCCCCTATGTGCGGACATGTTTTTTTATTGTACCGATTTCATAAAATAGTTTTATAATGGGAAAATGGGAATAAGACGCATAACAAAGACAACCCAGTGCCAAGGATGTAAAAAAGGGACTGTCCTGGGTGAGGAGGGTTAATGATGCGTCGATATACACAGATTACAATTAACACCACACAAACTACAAAGAGGATTTCATCAATGTCAAATTTCCTTGACGGCCCTGGTTAACCGAATGATGATTAACACGTATATATGGACCTGTGTTACAGACCTTGTTTTACGGTAGGAGGAGGGTGGGGACTAATTGTAGTGTTTGTGAGACAGTCTATTATGGAGGCTTTGTGTTACGATACTGTTTACTCTGGAAACACGTGCCTGTATTGTTGAAGAGGCTGACTTTAACTTTCGGTGACATTACCGTTACAGACCCGTCCCGGTAATCAGCCGTCATATTTATTATCCAGGAAAGGATAAATACAGGCCTATCTACTGAACCCTTCATTTCCTTCTAGATTTGTATATGATTTTTACCCTCTCGTCACTCCCCCAAGTGTGACTTTGTGGCGCGGACTCCTGCCCGGGGGAGCCACATTTTTTTCGTGCATTATGCAGAATACCAACTCTTTTGTCATACAATACGACAGCATAATCAGACATTGTTACTGTGACAGAAATAATTTGGTGTAGCGGTAGTCCGCCTCCCCGTCACTGTATCATATGACCCGACATTTGAAAAGCATTAATGATAGACTGGGCACAGTAAGAAGTCGCGCAATGCTTCCTACATCGTTAGGGAAGCTGGCTTTGTGGGTACCGTCTTGGTGACGGACAGCGGTTGACTAGCCCACGGCAATTCCACACAGCTACCACACGACAACACCCGGTGTCGGGAGGTAACCGCTGAGGCGTACCGCACCCGCCTAACGATCTAGACAACCACTGTCACGGCAACACAAAACCTCAGCAATGGTCTACTGTACAGAAGTAATCAGTCTGAAATTTAATTGTAATTAAAATGTAAAACAAATTCTGAAATACTTTAGGTAAAACGAGCACGCTACATACACATTTTCCAATAGAACTGAAAGTAGAAACGGGTTATAAAAAAACGACAGTGTGTATATGTAACAAAATCAATATGAAGATATAAAATTTTCAATATAATGAGAAAATACAACAACAACGGCATAAAATTCCACCCACACGAAATGTTTGAGGCTCGCAAGCAAACTTTAATCGCTAGGCTCTGCCTCCCTCGATGTTGTAGGCGCCTTTGTTTCAGCATTGAGTGATAGGGAACAGCTCTTGTGTGCTAATTAACACTATAAAGGTTAAAATATTTGGCCGATTAAGGACGCCCTTAAATCTCTCGTCAGAATTGTTTTTATATTACCAAGAACTTGGGAAGAGCAAAGCGTGGCCTCTGATGCAATCCATTTTGTGGGGCGATTATTTGATTTCACATGTCACCCTTGGAGGGATGGCAGAACGCGAGGTCTCAGTATGATGGCAAAATGGTGGGGCTGGATACGGCAGCAAACAGGGGCACTACAGATTATGGTTATCCAAGGCAAGGTGTCTTTTAAACAATGCAATTAGTGAGAAAAATGGACTGTCGGTTCGACCATTCATTGTCTCAACGTGAAGGTTACACCAGATTTAAACCCGGTCCATTCCGACAAATTGGCCTGCTTCCTTATATGGGCATTACGATGTGTTAATGTTGCTGATATGCCGACCCGTTTCCCGGCATGGACTGCCAGACAAACACATTAGCCAGTCACAAAGAAATATGGTTTCATATTCACGCGCACTGCAAGCACAAAAAATGACACAGCTATTGCAGTAGGGACCGAGAACATTATACGGGAATAAAATAGTAATCTTAATCGATTTGGTTATTGATGCTGAAACATTGACCTTGATTAATTGGCAGTAAAACTTGACCACTTACAATACCGCTGAGTTAGATACCTGATGAAATACGTCATCGATACACGATGTATTGCAACAAAATACAATAGAGATATTTCATTACAAAAAACTCTCTTCTCTATGAATGAACTAGTGAATAAACTAGTCTTCTCACAAAATTCAGGGGAAAATACTCTAAATGTATTTGTCACTGTTGACAGGTAGAATCATCGTATTTTTTGTGTTTCTGTGTTTTGTCATTTGAAATAGTTGACCATTTTGTATCTATGTCTACGTCTGTAACTTTTGTTTGTTTTATTTTGTCCAGGAAAGAGTTTCTGCTTGACAATCACAGTCTGCACCCACCCTCCTCAGGTGGCGCTTTACCAAAAGGCCATTAAGGTCACCGTTGATGGACCACGTGACCCAAGAAGCAAAATAAGTAAGTACTAATTGATGTGGATGCAATTGTTTTAAAAGTTATCGTGAATTCGTAAGAAATGTCTACATTTTGACTGGCGACTTGTGACTTACCTCCCACACAACCACACCTTATCCTCACGACTTGTGACTTACCTCCCACACAACCACACCTTATCCTTACGATTTGTGACTAGTTTTACTTCCCTTCACAGCCACATCCTATCCACCCCTCACCCCCTACTACTCTAGAATTACGCATGTTGGCCTCATTCCGCCATTACTTCCATAAGAAATCTGAAGTAAAATTTATTTCAAAATTTAGATTCGGATCGGACAAAAAGCACATACAATCATATACAGTGCTGGATATTTGTATCTTTCAATTGTACAATGCTTGGCCTACCTTTCTATCGTACAATGCTTGTCATACCTTTCAATCATACAAAGCTGGATATTTCTTTTATCTTTTGGTCATGCTGAATTTTTTGTTCATCAAGTAATAGGGAGAGGATAATGGTTTGCAATTTAACGACAATGACAGACAAGTTTGTGAAGTAGCATGACATGGAAAATATATATTTCAAGAGAAGATTGTAACAGTTAACAATCTTGGAATCTCGGGTGACGCCAGAGTTGGGAACTTGAAACCGGCTCAGATGCACTTATTTAATGCAAAAGGACAAAAAAAACATATGGTTTAGGACGATGCAATATAATGCAGTATTGATAGAACAGACTCGGACAATCCAATGGATCTTTAGACGATCGACTCATTAAGTTTGTTAGTGTGATTAGCATGTGTTACATGCTAGAAACTATCGGGTCCATTAATTTGGAAACCCTACCCCAATCGTCACCATAAAATCAACTCCTATCAGTGTTTTGGTGAGAGGTGAATGCTAAAACGTCCCTGGTCCCATCAAATAGCGAGAAGGGTCTTCTTTCATTACGAGGGTTAACTTTTCTAGCTCCTTTGTCACCAATTTGAACACCGTTTTGTAATTGCCTGGGGTATGAGCGCTGCTGTACTGAAGGCAAGAGACCACCATTAGTAGTCTGTGTCACATCCCTCAGACTCGGACAGATTCTGAAGCAGTCCCAGTCATTACCATGACAAAGAAGCTATCGATAGCAGGCGTTTCTTTTGTTACGTAATGTAAGATGGGCCCTCCCAACATCCCCTTACCACTCATATGTAACCGTGTCCAACATCTGCCTGCCTCGTCTCCAAGGAAGCTCTAGTTATAGTTTGTAATGCTTATATCAAAAAAAAAAGGGGGGGATGACTTTTTGATTCTTCAGTGTTCGTAAAACGGAAGACGCGTCATTATTTGGTATAATACGTATTAGATAGAGAATTTTATTATCCCCCTCCTCGTCCGTCCTGATGGAAGGTGATTTCATTTGAACAATAATCACGAAAAAAGGGGCTGCTCACGAGCGCCATTCCAACTGATGACGTTTGATATTGCGCGAGAAAACATGTTATTTTAGACTGCTCTGTTATGTCAACACGATCGATGAGGGGAGAAAACATTCTTAGATCATAAGCAGCTACCTAGGGCAATCTTACACAAACTAACCTTTCCTCCCACATGTGTCATTTCAGACAAACGGATATATTTAAAGGTGAATGTACGTGCTATGTTTTCAACACATCCGCATTGCTGTTTAATCTTATGACGCTTAATCAGTGTTGGAAAAAAATTCGAGACAGCAGATATTTCCACTCCTACATATAAAAACTTAACGCTTGTTGTTCAGAATTGAATAAATATTTTTAAATTCTTAAATTAGTTAAATAGGAAGGACATATAATCAGTTGTGAGAACACGTGTATTTAACTAACATTTTCATCGAAATTTGAAATCCTTCCGTAGGGCTGAGAACTTGGGCCTGAACATAGAAACTACTATGCATGTCGATGATTGTCGTGCATGTCTTGTGTCAGAACTTGTGACGCAGAATAGGAAATACCAGATTTGGTCACGGTGTGTACTGACTTCCTCCGGGAGCGTGCAGAACTCCCATACCGTATACATAGCTAATACACATGATGTACGGCTGATTTCTCTGTTAATACTGCGGTTTAAAATGCCGTACATGAGTCAACAACGCGTATCTCTCTGCAATAAAACTTGTACACTTTCATTTCAAGATAATTACTTAACGAATTTCTGAAATGTATTTGAAATATTTTGATAATTTAACATTGACTTAGGTCGCAATGTCACAGGTAAACAATGATAGCAACGTGACTCCAGTCTGTACATCCACGCCTTATTTGTCCTTAAGTAATTACATAAACACGACATAACCAAGATATGAATTACATAAGTGTGAAACATAGAAGACTTTTGTGTAATTCTCTTTGTACTATATAGCTGTAATATGCAGCGAGGAATTACTGATCAGTTTTCGTGTGTACATCGATGATATCGTGATGGTATCGTAGAAAATATCTATACCAAGTTCTTTTTATAGCTTTAGGAAGAAAACCGACAGTGTTAATTAAAAATAAGGGTCAGGTTGGCTTTCAAGGAAATTACAATAGTTCAGGTTAATTCTATCAATATAATACATTACATATATGGATTGAATTTTGATTATTTGTTTACGTTAACAATGTGCTTGTACCTATAAGCTGTATTGCATTTAGGATATAATAAAACGTGAAAACTTGAATAGTTGAAGAACAGATCGCACCCTGTGAGTGATCTGCGGTAACCGTAAGCGAGAAATCTTGCTCCCGTGACAGAAATTCTTGGCTGACTAGTCAATCGTGTTTATCTCAAACTAACTGGTTTGGCGGTCACTGTTACAGCCTTTCAGCGGACGGGGGGATACACATCATCTACGAGTGTATTATAATATTACTACTGTCCCAAGTAGTTCCGGTCATTATGTTCTGATCATATCGGTATGGTCTAGAACAGTGTCAAACTCCAGTGTTAATACTCAAGGATGTTTAATGTCCACTCCCTAAATACCTCTAACAACTTCCCTCAACACCCACAACATGTTGTGTCAGGTAACACACCTATAGCATTTTGTTATTTCATTACCTGCACATTTGTATGCAATAAGCAAGCAGGACTAGATATTAAATGGTACTTATAATTAATAAAAAAAAAGAGAGATTTGTGTTTCCTTAGGAGAAATTTTTACTGTTTGTAAATAATATGGTACTAATACCGAGAGGACACTTTTATAATTACTAGTTCAAAGTTGTGTTCCTTAGTTTAGGGTTGAATATCAAGTAAAGTTGACAGATAGCTTACAGTATTAACAAAGTAAGGATGAAGGCACGAACGGACGGTACATACTAAAACGGGGTTCTTTATGCATTTATTGGCAATTATACAGTATGGGTGTATGAAGTATGCCAACTTACCGGATCGGAAGTGGCGGATAAGGCTACTAGTAACCCCGGCCAGTTTATTGGTCATGGTGTGGTGGACAGGAATGTACGCGGGGTCAAGGACGTGGATACATACAACAAATAAACAGTCTCGGCAAATTAAAGTCCTTACAAATTCATTGTTGAAACAGGCGATTTATTGAAGGATTAACAGTTTTATAGACATGTACACCACTCCTGCCTGGTAATGCTATTCTACAAAGAGATAGCGCACACGACATCTACAATTGTTCCTTACCTCATTAAGACAGCTCCAAGGCGTGTGTTCTTACACTACGCCAAAAGTCAGTGTAGGGTTTTCAGGGATTGGTCAGCAAAGCGCTGTGTGGAGGGATCAACACGTGGTTCATATTGGGGGGAGGGGGTCAGCACGTGACTGCAGAGGAGGAGATATGAAACTGTCATTGAAGGGATCGTCAGCGCGTAGTCACGGGGAAGGGTTGGAGTGGTGGCATTCAGTGAGGGCTCAGGCGTTGTAGATGAGGGGTTAGTATGTGGTTGTGGGTGAGGGGCAATCATGTGACTGCCCGGGAGAAGTCTGGACTGGGATGAAGTATACTTCACCTGGCTTTGAGTACAGAACGGACCAAGTGTACGGAAGGGAGCTGGAGTAGATTCTGATGAGGCCATATACACGTGCATACTAATTAAGTATGGGTATCGCCGATGGACTGCCGGAAGTAACATGATTGACATTACTCCAGGCGATCACTTGTAGATGTGAAATTGTGCGCGTGGAGATTTCTTCTCAAATATTATGGTCATTCGTTCACGTGGTTACAGCAAAGCATGGACAAGTGATTTATCCTGGGCCCCCCGGTCTACATGAATTTGTCACAGTTGCACTGATAAGGTGTTCGTCAAATTTATCGGTTCACTTGTGTCGCATTTTCTTCATTTCAAACGGTATCATCAATTTGAAGGGCATCATAGGACATTTTACAATTTAGATGTTATGCACATAATAGCTCCATGCGCATGTGCTTGTTCACCTGTGGGTTTAGAGACGTTACGAAAGATTCTTGATGTTCCGGGTCTGGGACATCGATCATGTCTTGTCACCGAACGAAGTTAATTTGTCTACTCCCTTCACACCCCAGCCCACGATCTCCCTCCTTGCCCGGGCCTCATCTCGTCCTTCCTTCACATCATGACCAACCCCTCTTCTTTCCTCTACACCTCAGACTGCCCTCTCTGTTGATGGAGACAGGTATGCCTCCAAAACGTCGCACTGTTATCACAGACAACGATACACCTTTCTGCACTGTAGGGCTCAGACGTAAACATTTCCAGGAAAATCACCTTCACGAGCCCATTACGTACCAGTATAACACACTATGTGTACATGGAGCCGATTATGCCTCGAGCTGATGTCGACATTTAAATCTATTTTGTCAAAGACAATCCACACACGGAATGTTTTATAGAATTTAATGTGTAGTGTTTAGTGCTTCCTGGTTTAGGACCATCACTGGCATAAAGGGGGCACATGAGGGGGTAGGAGGGGCAGGATTCCGTAAATACATACACTTTGGACACGACGACTCCATCGACTGCTGTGACGTCCTGTACATACGTTTTAACATGTTTCTTGTTTGCAGTATGTGAAACCTTTTTCGTCTGTACATTGAAATTTCTTGCTGTATAAAACAAAACAAAAACACACCAATCCTTATACTTCTGATCATCAGTTTCCAAACTCGCACATTTTCTTTATTTCTGATCGAAGAAAAGTCTTCATCTTGCTATGTATGTTATTATCACATCTACTCTTAACATAGTCATTGGAAGCTATGGTTACTGTCTATATAGTTATTGGTAGCCATGGTTACTGTCTATATAGTTATTGGTAACCATGGTTACTGCCTAGATATGATAAGCGGAACTATATTAACCGACTTTACAGACCTTGTCGTTTGTATATTTAGTCACTCTCTCCTCTATGCTGTATCATTCTGTAATATGTTTATACCTGTGCTGTATCCTTGTCTAGTATGCCCCTATCTGTGCTGTATCATTTTCTAGTGTTTCCATGTCTGTGCTGTATCCTTGTGTAGTGTTCCCATGTCTGTACTGTATCCTTTTTTAGTGTGCCTCTGTCTGTGCTGTAACCTTGTCCCCTCTGTTGTCATGGTGTTGTACTACTGTAAACCTACGTTTCCATACTAACAACTTCCTCTCTTGTGTTCTTGTACTCAAGAATACCGACAATTTGTCTTCACAGAGCTGCGAACGGACGACCGACGTATTCACCGTCCGCTCGACATACCAGACCGTAGCCCATTTGACCCCCTTCAGAACAGTCGATTCAGTCACTCCCTGCCCGACTGGCAGATCCATCGGCAGAGCTCTCGCATCTCCGATACATCTAGTAGAGTATTACAACCATCCTCTGAAACCAATGGATATCACTCAGGTAAGTTATCTCTGTATTAATTACTAACAATGTATCGTTACATGTAGCAGTCGGATATCAAATACGTAGTTATCACTTTGATTACTAGGACACAAGTTATTTTTTATGTATGTGAGCTAGTTCATGCAAGACAGGCAATAAAATGATTTGTTTATAAAAACTTATTGCACATAAAATACATGTTTTCTGTTAATTTTCTTACACAGAGCCGACAGGAAAAAGAAGCAGTCCCTGGGGTACGGGATTCGACCCTTATCCCGTCATCACCACTCATGCCCCCGCATACTCACAGCCCCCACCCCTTCCCGGAACAGGTATGTAGCATATTAACACTTGTGTAGTTTGTATCGTGAACCTGTGATTTTTACGCGCCAATTTAAAGCCAGTAAACCTGTTTGTAATTACACCATGCATCGTATAGCTCGCTGACATTAGTCTTCTGTTTTTCAGGTCATCAGATCACACCACCCCCTCCCTCCATTGAATCTCATATAACGGACACTCTGCTCACCGACTCCAGACTCCCTTCACTCCACAAGGGGGCAGGAGCTCATCATGATGTCATGGTCACCTCTCATTCACAGGAGCGCCCTCTACCGGTAGTCGTGCCGGACCCACAGCGACCCGACATATCAGCACTGGAACCTCGTCATTCCGAACCGCGCATGCCACTGGATTCTCAACTTCCGATAGTGTTGCCGCGGTATCCGGAAGTCCGGTTACAGGAACATCGGATTTCGGAGACGCGATTCTCGGAGAGTACTAGTAGACATTTACTTACACATTCACACAGCGTTCAACCATATCAGTCGACCAATTCCAACTTCGCCATCTTAAGAGAAAGTCGGGACATCAACCCTTTACCATTGTCAGTCTCCCATAGCAACTACCCCATCATCACTGCCCAGGATCTACTGGCCAGCATAAACCCCGCCACCACCATGGCTCCTTCCTACCTGCCCGGGTCCCCATCCAGTGTGCTCCCAACTAGCTTCCTCTATCCTCACCTCTACTCTTCGCCCCCTCAAATCTCAAATCTCTTCCTGCCGTCAGGAGAGGTGCGAACATACGAGATACTCGGACAGCGATCATCTGATATTCCGATGAGGGTAGATCGCCCACTGACCCCATCCAGTAACCGACTACAAATAGAAGGCCCTTCCAGATCTGTGCTTCGTGACGAACAGGAAGAGCAACGCATGCGCATGGAAACATCAAGGAATGGTATACATCCTATGGATGTTCACGCGTCCGAGACCAACAGGTCACCTCCCAGGTCTGGAGATACCACCAACCCCGACTCCACGGTCTGGCGGCCGTACTGAAGTCACTTTACGTTAGGACCAGGTCGAAACTTACATTCGAATTCCCTTAGAATCACGTGATTCTTGCGAAGACGATCAGAGCTTTGAATATTGCTATGGCTATTGTTCAGATGATTTGTCAGATGAAAAGACAGTCAAGTGCTTGTTCTGGTGAACTCTCACGAGAAAAGTCGTGATGTTAGACATACCAGTGGATTTGTACAGTTTATGGAGAATGTGTCGGAAAAGTTTGTTTTAAGAAACTTAACTGTGAATGCATTTATGAACGTTTTTTGTGGGGAGATATTACCTGGTGTGATTTATTGTGATAGGAGTTGTTAAGGAAGCAAACCTGGTTATTGGCATTAAGTGATAATAAAATGATGGTATTCAGTTTCACAAATTGTCAATTTGACGACTCCATGTCAGTGTGAGTGACGCAGGTCATTCTATTGCATAGTTTTTGGACAGGTTTGACTTGTCGAGCAGCACATGGGTTTTGGACAGAACAGATGAGACCTTTCGAGCAGTGTGTGTGGGTCAAGGACAAGATTATAGACGGAACTCGGGAATTACTGATAGAAATTACTTGTTTCGAATTATGCAGGTTCTTAACAAGTTATGGACAGATGTGATGAGTCCAGCATTGTGTGGTTTAGGAGAGATATGACAAGTCTAGAAGTGTGTAGTTGGAGGAGAGATATGACAAGTCTAGCTCTGCGTGGTTTTAGGAGAGATATGACAAGTCTAGAAGTGTGTAGTTGGAGGAGAGATATGATAAGTCTAGCAGTGTGTGGTTTTAGGAAAGATATGACAAGTCTAGACGTGTGTGGTTGGAGGAGAGATATGACAAGTCCAGCAGTGTGTGGTTGGAGGAGAGATATGACAAGTCTAGAAGTGTGTGGTTGGAGGAGAGATATGACAAGTCTAGCAGTGTGTGGTTGGAGGAGAGATATGACAAGTCTAGACGTGTGTGGTTGGAGGAGAGATATGACAAGTCTAGCTCTGCGTGGTTTTAGGAAAGATGTGCCAAGTCTAGCAGTGTGTGGTTTTAGGAAAGATATAACAAGTCTAGCTCTGCGTGTTTTTAGGAAAGATGTGACAGAACAGATTGTAGACAGATATCGCAGGTGATGATTCGAACAGAATGCAGTATGAAGATGTGATGAGGGTAGCTCGTTACTGGTAGTAGTGGAACTGATTTTAATAATAAAAACGCAATGTGTTGAGGAGTGCCAGTATTTGGACCATTTAGGAGGTCGGTTATGTGATAGGACACACAATGGTGTCCTCTCGTTTTGAAAATTGTAAGAATTTATTCTTTTATATTTTATATTTAATAGACCCTTTGAACTTAAAAAAATATATTATTGTCAACATATTGACATGTTTAGCTTATATGGTGGTAGTTAACCATATCGAACTAGATTTAATCCTAAGTATTGGCATGAAGTACCTGGTCATAAGAAGTAATGTAGCATTATTGTGTTTGACCCCGTCACGCAAGTAAACAGCGCCTTGTAAAGCCGACACAATTTGTGACAGATATTATATAATAATCACAAACAATCTGAATATGATAAAAATATATTTGACTTTCTGCAAGCCTTAAACTTTCTAGGTTGACAACTGAAAGGAACGTCCAGATACGTTGAGTTTCGTAATACTTCTCAGTCTTGAAGGGAAAATCGGACATATATTGATAATTCAAACATTTCAATTGATGATGTTTCTTTGGGTCATAAAATTATATTGTAAGAGTTTGATCTCATGTTTTTTATCGGGATATGAGTTAGACAGGAAACGTCACGGTCAGCCTTTCCAGGAGTTCATAGCCTAACAAAAGTATTCGTTTAGAGTAAGACAGAAGTACATTAACTAATAACCTATGTTATATATATTTTGTAAGGTGAACTTTTAAAGTGTCTTTATTCCAAAGGTCAAGGCCTTAAACTGTGACCTGGAAGTTTAATTTCAAAGGTCAAGGTCATTAATTTTGAAAAGTTGCTACACGAATGGTGCTTTGTGTGATATTTGATGGATTTCAGTCATGCGCAGAGAATATTTTCTTGTTACAACGTGTTTTGTTGTCTCAAACTTTATTTTTGATCTCAATTTCATTTGTGATTTGTTTTTTGTCCTTTTTCGACAATTTTATTGTTGTATAAATTCCAGACTTTTGAAAGTCTTTATATACATGTACCCCTTATCAACTCACCTCCCTCTCATTTCAAATTGGCTGTGCCATGATTGTCAAATTCATGGAGTAAATTTACTTCTATTGTATCACAATAAAAACCGTTCTTTACAGAATGTTGCGAGTCTGAAATGCTTCAGTTTTTACGATGTTCAATTTTACTGAATTTGTCTTGTTTTTCCTTCTGCATTTAATTGCATGGATACCATTTGTATCGTCATCTTTTTTTTATCAAATGCTCAAATTTCTAGAGCGTACGCCTCATTTCATTTGTCATTGTATCATTTATATTTACGTCATTTTTGGTCGGATCATTTTCGTTGTTCCGGAAATCCATGGTTGAGAGGAGATGGTGCATTGTGGGACAAATTCCAAGACACGTCTGCCATTGATATGACTTCTATTTTTTGTTTATTCTACGTACCTATATATATTTATGCTCCACATGCCATTAAATGTCAAAAACAAAATACATCTTGTTTTTCTTCTTCCTTCCCGATACTTACAACATGATAAATATAGACGTACGGACTTGTGAGAAAGCTTATACTTGTACACTTTGAATTGGTCAGGGGAAATACACAATGTGATTTGTACTGGTGCAATTAAAACCCCAGTGACTGTTGGCTACCCTTTTGTCGATACCAGTTAGATGGGAACCAAAACACGATCTTATTATACTTATGCGATCGTACTATTTGAACCACATTCCCAAACCACACGTTTCGGAATCAGAGCCTGTTGCACATGTTGTCAATGCCGTCTGATGTGGTGCCTCGGTCGAATGAAATACGAGGTGAGAGATGAAGAATTGACGTTCCACATGATTTGATGTCGGCATAGAGGCGACGCTTGCAGTTTGTTGATAACTTGAAGAAAATCGCTTTCAGTTTTAAATAATTCTACGTTTACTATTTTAAGTAAGGTACAAAAAGAACTGAAATGTTTTAACATTGTTAACAGCTATTAATGTTACATAAGTCACACCGGTGAAAGTTAACTGGTAGGAAAATTGAAATCGTTGAATCCTACTCGCTTCTAATTTTCGGTTACTATCAAGATCAACTTCGATGCTCGTTCCATTTCCATCATGACATCTCCAATGCAGAAACTTGACAATATAGTCTCAACGATTATAAAGGGTTAACCCAGCGTGCAGGTCTTACTGCACATTGTGCTTCGTAGCCGCCATCTTGATATGTCCCATACGGACTACACGCACACACGTGAGAGTGGGCTAGGTATGTAGAATTTGTTACCTGTTTAGAGGCGATAAATACAAGTCTGTACGCCATTGTCAGGACTGGAAAATGTTTTGTTGTGACGCGACTAGATTCTGTTGTGACGACTCACTGGTTTGTACAGACACGTGTATCGCACGGCGGCTGATGGCGGTTAGTAGTAACGTCTGTTCGTGTATCCGGTATTGGTGCAGGACGAATGCAAGCCTGTCAGTGTATATTTCACCGTTATATAGTGGCCACCTAACGTTCTTTGTCATTCTTACGCAATAGAAGGTTGTCCTTCCTAAAGTAAACATTTGTTCTGAATCAACTTTGGAGTCAACCTAACCCGAAAGCGGCACATGAGTCCTAGACCTCGGAGTCACTCCAGTCCGACAGCGGGACTCTGACCCTAGACCCGGAGTCACCCCAGTCCGACAGCGGAAGTCTGACCCTAGACCTCGGAGTCACTCCAGTCCGATAGCGGGACTCTGACCCCAGACCTCGGAGTCACTCTAGTCCGATAGCCGGACTCTGACCCTAGACCACGGAGTCACTTCAGTCCGACAGCGAGGCTCTGACCCTAGACCTCGGAGTCACTCTAATCTGATAGCGGGACTCTGACCCCAGACCTCGGAGTCACTTTAGTCCGATAGCGGGACTCTGACCTTAGATCCCGGAGTCACTCTAGTCCGACAGCGGGACTCTGACCCTAGACCACGGAGTCACTTCAGTCCGACAGCGGGGCTCTGACCCTAGACCTCGGAGTCACTCTAATCTGATAGCGGGACTCTGACACTAGACCCCGGAGTCACTCTAGTCCGACAGCTGGACACGGTTCTAGACCTCGAAGTCACTCTAGTCCGACAGCGGGACTCTGACCCTAGACCTCGGAGTTACTCTAGTCCGACAGCGGGACTCTGACCTTAGACCTCGGAGTCACTCTAGTCCGACAGTGGGACTCTGACCCTAGACCCCGGAGTCACTCTAGTCCGACAGCGGGACTGCCCCTGACTTCCCTAGACCTCGGATTCTAGACCTCGAAGTCACTCTAGTCCGACAGCGGGACTCTGACCCTAGACCTCGGAGCCATTCTCGTCTGACAGCAGGACACTGACCCTAGACCTTGGAGTCACTCTAGTCTGACAGCGGGACACTGACCCTAGACCTCGGAGTTACTCTAGTCCGACAGCGGGACTCTGACCCTAGACCTCGGAGTCACTCTAGTCCGACAGTGGGACTCTGACCCTAGACCCCGGAGTCACTCTAGTCTGACAGCGGGACACTGACCCTAGACCTCGGAGTCACTCTAGTCCGACAGCGGGACTCTGACCCTAGACCCCGGAGTCACTCTAGTCTGACAGCGGGACACTGACCCTAGACCTCGGTCTCACTCTAGTCTGATAGCGGGACTCTGACCCTAGACCTCGGAGTCACTCTAGTTCGATAGCGGGATTCTGACCCTAGACCCCGGAGCCATTCTCGTCTGACAGCTGGACTCTGACCTTAGACCCCGGAGTCACTCTAGTCGATAGCGGGACCCTAGCGGAGCCATTCTCGTCTGACAGCGGGACTCTGACCCTAGACCTCGGAGTCACTCTAGTCCGACAGCGGGACTCTGACCCTAGACCTCGGAGTCACTCTAATCTGATAGCGGGACTCTGACCCTAGACCTTGGAGTCACTCTAGTCCGATAGCGGGACTCTTACCCTAGACCCCGGAGTTACTCTAGTCCGACAGCGGGACTCTGACCCTAGCCCTCGGAGTCACTCTAGTCCGACAGCGGGACTCTGACCCTAGACCCCGGAGTCACTCTAGTCTGACAGCGGGACACTGACCCTAGACCTCGGAGTCACTCTAGTCTGACAGCTGGACTCTGACCTTAGACCCCGGAGTCACTCTAGTCTGACAGCGGACACTGACCCTAGACCTCGGAGTCACTCTAGTCCGACAGCGGGACTCTGACCTTAGACCTCGGAGTCACTCCAGTCCGACAGCGGGACTCTGACCCTAGACCCCGGAGTCACTATAGTCCGACAGCTGGACACGGTTCTAGACCTCGAAGTCACTCTAGTCCGATAGCGGGACTCTGACCCTAGACCCCGGAGTCACTCTAGTCGGACAGCTGGACTCTGACCCTAGACCCCGGAGTCACTCTAGTCCGACAGCTGGACACGGACCTAGACCTCGGAGTCACTCTAGTCCGATAGCGGGACTCTTACCCTAGACCCCGGAGTCACTCTAGTCTGACAGCGGGACACTGCCCCTTGACCTCGGAGTCATTCTAGTCCGACAGCTGGACACGGTTCTAGACCTCGAAGTCACTCTAGTCCGACAGCGGGACTCTGACCCTAGACCTCGGAGTTACTCTAGTCCGACAGCTGGACAGCGGGACACTGACCCTCCGACAGACCTCAGAGTCACTCTTGTCCGATAGCGGGACTCTGACCCACCCTAGACCCCGAAGTCACTCTAGTCTGACAGCGGGACACTGACCCTGGAACTCGGAGTCATTCTAGTTCGATAGCGGGACTCTAACCCTAGACCCCGGAGTCACTCTAGTCTGATAGCGGGACACTGACCCTTGACCTCGGTGTCACTCTAGTCCGACAGCGGGACTCTGACCCTAGACCACGGAGTCTCTACAGTCCGACAGCGGGGCTCTGACCCTAGACCTCGGAGTCACTCTAGTCTGATAGCGGGACTCTGACCCTAGACCTCGGAGTCACTCTAGTCCGACAGCTAGAACTGACCCTAGACCCCGGAGTCACTCTAACCCGACAGCTGGACACTGACCCTAGATCTCGGAGTGACTCCAGTCCGACAGCGCAACTCTGACCCTAGACATCAGAGTCACTCTTGTCCGATAGCGGGACTCTGACCCACCCTAGACCCCGAAGTCACTCTAGTCTGACAGCGGGACACTGACCCTGGAACTCGGAGTCACTCTAGTCAGACAGCTGGACATTGACCATAAACCTCAACAACTCAGTCCAACGCTATACCTATTGAAATAATGGAGAGTGGCCACTGCGCTTTGTAATTGACTTCTACACACATTATACCAGGAATAATCCTTCAAGACACAAAAACATATCTGGTGATGTCGCTGGTATTAGACATCAGCCGATCTATCACACTGTGACGTTGTTTCCGGTAAAGACATCTGCCGATATATCACACTGTGACGTTGTTTCCGGTAAAGACATCAGCCGATGTATCACACTGTGACGTTGCTTCTGGTAAAGACATCAGCTGATGTATCACACTGTGACGTTATTTCCGGTAAAGACATCAGTCGATGTATCAGCTTGTGATTGTGAAATGGTCTGAGCAGGTATCGTACCATACATTGTAGGTTGATGACTTATATCGTTGTAACATCAAAAGTTTTTATAAAGTAAAAAAAAAATCATGAAAACAAATATCGCAATTCAGTTTTCTGCTCTTTGGTTAAAAACAGATCGAGCTGGAACAAGCTGTCACCTGCAATGGCCGTTTGGCAAGCGCTGGATGAGATGCAAGTCCGTATTTCAGATGAAATGTTGAACTGATTGAAGAATTCAAAATATTATAAAATTGTTAAATTTCTAACAGAAAATCAAATAATTGTCCAATCTCCCACCTAAACGCCTTTGATGTTGCCGCTATCGTTAACATCTAACAATCGACGCAGGTGAGAGCTTTAAATCGTCATGGCTTCATTACTAAATACACGATTGACTAAACATGATACATTTGCAAGCAATAAAACCTTATCACAGCTTAATTGTGCATTTTAATTTTGATTTCATCAAATTTCGATTTTGTAATAAATTTATTTAAAGACTTCATTTATTAGAAATAAAATTGTATCCGCTTTTCATATTTGACACCTTGTTTCCAATTTGGGAGGCAGAGAAACATGTTATATTTGGCAGATAGATTTATATCATCAGGACTATGGTTGATTTGAGCGGCACTTCACTGTTCAGTACATCAGCTGTAACAGTATTCACTGTTCAGTACATCAGCTGTAACAGTATTCACTGTTCAGTACATCAGCTGTAACAGTATTCACTGTTCAGTACATCAGCTGTAACAGTATTCACTGTTCAGTACATCAGATATAACAGTATTCACTGTTCAGTACATCAGATATAACAGTATTCACTGTTCAGTACATCAGCTGTAACAGTATTCACTGTTCAGTACATTAGATATAACAGTATTCACTGTTC